TCAACCTGAGTCACAATAAGATGTTGAAAAACCTGCCAATCAGAAATAAAAGTGATAATTTCCATCCATCTTAACATCTTTATAACTGAGTTTAAGGCCCATGGTTGAAAACTACTCCATTAACATTAAAGGAGCTGATATATAACTGCTGTACATACAATTTTAATGCTGCTTGTTTATATACAACAGTGAAAATTTCAAATACTGAAAAATGCTGAATTAGTTTAAAGATATGTTGTTCTGTAATTGTACTCACAAGGAGGAAGTTTACAAGAGATGCAACATTTGCTTAAGAGCAAAACTACACTTGTAGTTTGGATTAATTTGATAAATTAAGACAGCATTGTCATCAAAAAGGTGATACAATCTCTTCACCACACTTCCCTTTACTCTTTGCAGCAACCTGACTGAAGTCAATTTGTTTTTTGATGTATTATTGATTTTCAGTTAAAGTAGGAAAATTCTAGGATTCACTGGCTTCATCTAAATTGGCCCTTCCCATTAAACAGAAAGGCCCATCTCTGAAAAAAATACATCTTTGCTTCTCCTTTGCAGTCCTTCTCAAATTCTCTTTTTCTGCTTGAAACTTGCATTCTCATTTTCACACTTTCAGTCAAGGCTTTCATTTTCTATGCTTCAGAACTTCAGTCTGCAACACAAAACAGGGTATTAAAGACACCTGATAAAGCCAGAAAAGATCAAATTGCATTACTTTTTGAACTTCATTACTTTGAAGCTTCAACATAGGTTCCTTTATGTACACACAATATGAAGTGCAGATGTGTTTTAGAGCCCAAAGACTTGCATATGAATTTACCAAGCGATGCAATACTGACATAGGTGTGAAATCTAGGAAGTTATGAAGTCAGAACCTATCTTCTAGAAACGGTGACATAATTGACACGTTTAAAAGACAATCTGATTGAAGGACCAGGCTCAGTAACTTCCTGAACAAAAGTTAGTTGGTACTTGTTACATTGGTTCTTAGACAAGTTCACAGCAGTTCCCAAAGTGATGTGCTTACAAAGTGTGATTGGGGTGAAGGGTCCACCAGCACATTAAGTCTCACATGGCTGTCAATTATCAGTTTGAGTGAAGAGACACCACATCCACTCTCTTTTCTAAAATAACAGTTTATCGCTGAGAAGCCTTCAAATATCAGGAAATTTAAGGCATCATCCTTTCAGCAGTACTGCACCACAAGTTCTCATGCTATGGTTTTTGTAACACTGGTATGTCCATTGAAGACAGAATGGAGAGGTGCAAGACAAGGATCCCTAAAGATCAGAAAAGCTGCCTGACTCCAGACCCTCCCTGATATGCTGTAAAATTATTTCTACTTGGGTAAAGAGATGGTTCTTGGATGCCTCACCAAGTCCTTCCAGTGAATTTGAATTGTCGTCACACAGCTGCCTAGAAAGAAACCATTCAGATAGTGGTGGTCTTCCTGCAGCTTTATACATCCTGCACATTATTCTCTCTGTAACGGTCAGTTTTATATGGATTAGTTCAACACAAAAACTACAAGCAACCTTTCAGCAAGCAAGCTACCAAAGCAGAAGTGAGAATAGTCTTGCCTGAAGAAGCCACACTAGGATATCAGAAGAGCTGAGAAATAGACCAACTTCCCCAACATAGATACAATTTGTTGATGTAAAGATGTGGGTGATTAGTTAGAGTTTCTCCTTCAAGAGCCATCTACTAATCTAGGATAGCATGAGGTACCTTTATACGGCGGTAATTTCACTCATGCACTGGAGGACTAGAGAGCTGAAAGGCATCAGTTACTTTTGAAGGGGTGGGGAAAAACACACCCCCAAACCAAAATGATAAGAGTTGTTAAGGACATACAAGGCCAGTATGCAAGCTAAGATCCTAGTCACACTGACACAGGCATTGCTTGACTTGTTTCTCAATATTCTAGACTTTAGCCCTGTCGTCAGGAATGTCTGATACTTAAAATGGTAAACAGGAGGAAGTTCAACATAAATGAGTGTTGAGCTGAACTCTGACCCTATTATTTCTCCATTTTTATCAAAGTAGATTTAAATATCATTGCTTCTCAGTAAAGGCTAACACTAAACCCTCAAGTAGTGCTACAGGTCTATAGGTGTTCATGCCAAGAGGCTCCATTCAGAAACTGTAATTCCACATGAAAATTCTCCGCTTCTGAAATTCACTTCTCTGCTGTGCAACATTAATCAATTGTCCACAGTACTCAACAAGTATTTTTAAGCAACAGAATTCATGCAAGAAATCTACTAAGACTTCAAAGTTTTCTTTTGTGGAAGTATTAAATATTTCAAGACTCTATTCAAAGAGATTTTTTAATAGGTATCAGAATTTTTTGTTTATGACAGCATAGTATTTTGTCATATTATGAAGCAATTTTTATACTGTATGATTTTATACATATATTTTCAACTGATGTTGAAGACCATCAAAGGGAGAAACAAGAACCAAAACAGGAACTTCAGCTAAGAAGAAAGACGCCACAGCACGGAACAGAAGCAGATGATTCATGTCATAAGCAACTATGATGTAAATAATTAAACTTTAACAACCCTGAGATGTGGCAAAGTATCACCACCCCTATTTAATGTTAATCATGGTATTCATGTTCCACTACAGAATCATAATGTAATTACAGATTTCCAGAGTAGCACTTGGTGCACGTTTCATAAGGCCTGAAGAGTTTTCCTGTCAGTTCTGCCTGCTGCACCACTGATAAAAAGCAGCCTTAGGCCCTCTACACGATTAGACCTCTTACATTAACGCTACAGCTTTCAAGTGCCAGGCAGCAGTATTTAAATCTTTGATAAATACAAAGAATACATTAATATATACACATCTCCCACCATGTTCAGCAGTACTAATAAGTCTTCGGAGAAGGAAAGCAAGGCTTCCAAGGACTGTGAATAGGACACCTCTTTTCTGCCAGCAGCCAGTCTCAGCCAATATGATTTTGCTTGAAGTGTGAGGGGAAAAGAATGTGGAAGAGACTGAGGTGAGCAAGATGTGGCATCTACTTTACAACAGGATGTTACTGTGACTCTTCCTTACCCTCTCTCAACATCTGTGGATTTTGGGACGTAGATAGATCTCAGGCACACAGCAGCTCTGCCACTTTGCTGGCAGCTGAAAGGCACGCAGGCCATCTCTGCCGATAGCTGAGGAGAATAACCAGGTGATACCACAACCCAGAGAAGGCACGAGGACAGAGGTTTAACAGCATGGTGACAAAGGGTGGTTCAGACCACAGCACAGAATTAGCATCACTGATACTATGACAGCAATGTGTAACAACTGATATGCCAGAACAATTAGGTATCACAATTAGTGTTACAACACTACCGCAGGATTGATATCCTGGCCAATGCTGACCACACACTGCAGATGGTATCGGCAGTATGTCACTAGAATTAAGCTTCAGGGCTATTAGAGAAGTTAATGAAGGGACCCAAATCTCAAACCACTACCGAATTGATTGAGAAATGTTTGACCGACATGCTTTCATGACACAGGAATTCCATGGTTTATGCAGGGAGAACCCTGAAAAAGAAGGTCTCCCAAACCAGTAACACCATCTGCACGAGAATATAATCTCAATGTATGGATTCCTCTCTAAAATTGTTCCCAACCAATCTCTCACTTCTCACTTCTTGATGCTAAAATTATTCTGTAGCTGTTCAGGGCACTCTTACAAGGCTTATCTGTTTTCTTCTTGTCTATTCTCTCTCTTCCCATTCTGCTTATTTCATCAAGTTCACCTTCTACAAAGTTGAAACAGGAGATGTTCAATCCACGTATCATCCAAGATGCCTGTGAATTAAACACCTTCTCCTTCTCACCAGTCCCTGCATAGACCAGAGCATGAAATTCAGGTGCAGGCTACAAGTTTCTAATGAAACCAAGAGAATACTAAAAAAATACCCTCTCCCCTTACTATGCCTCCCAGTAAGAAGAACCATTATCTCCCCTGTAAAAATCAGGTACAGGACAGGTGAAGATGCAGATGTTCCCTGACACATACAAAGGAATTGTTGACTACTTTTGTGAAAACCTATAAACAAGTGGTGTTTCAAGTTTTCTGCAAGGGGACCAGCACTTGTACCCAATAATTGTGGCACCCTCTGTTCTGTCCACATGCTGTGGATTTTGCCAACAAATTGCGAGGAGAATTGTTGGAGCAGGTGGAAAAACAAAGCTCAGGTTAGTAACAGAAATTCGTTGCATATTTGAAACAAACATCACACAGCTGCTATTCGCAAACACCATCAGAGCCCACCTGAGGCCCCCCTCGCCCCTCTCTGCCAACATGCGGTGCAGTATATTTTGGAATACAGACTTTGAGGCACTGATACGGCAGAGTACACTATGTGTCACTAAAGAGTTGCAACTTAAGTGGAATATTCAAGGCCTGGAACATTTTGCAAAAGGGACTAAGCACTGCAGAAATGTGTGAAGACATACTACTGGCTATATACATAGAAAACGCTCCCCAAATCCCCACGGAAACCCACTGCCCGAGTCTGACGCGGCCCACCGGCTCGCCAGAGCAGGTGCCCTCGGCTGGGCTACAGGCAAACTTCTCCGTGACAGCCGCTGCGCCGGCAGCACAGCGGTGCGGGCCTGGCCGGGAGACTTCCCCTTAGCAGCTCCCCCCCGGCCC